TGTAGCTGAAACTGTCTTTCCTAAGAGCTTTAAAGATATTCTAGTAAGTCTGTATCTTTGCTTCAAACCCCCAAAAGGTAGAAAATATGCTAATATAAACACAGATATTAATATTTTTCCTTTTCGCATGTTTTTCTTTAAGTCTAGCCGACAACACGTCAGATCAGACTGCAGATGCCTTCACATTGTTTTGTATAGACCTCCTTAAATGAGACAAATGAATTTACAGAAATCTGGGAGAAGAAGAGCTGATGCAGCCACTGTTCTGTTACCAGTATCATAGTTAAGTTTTCTTCTGCTTTATAACCCAATGAGTTGAAAAGCAGCAGGGCAAGAATAAAAAAAAAACATGGAATGGAAGTGTAATAACAGTGCCACTACATATTGTCTTTGGTAAATTATTGAAATGGGCTATCTAAATAGCATTTAAAATGAGATTTGAATTATCAATAGGATACTTAAAGTACAGTAAGTAATAATTCAATACATTGTAAAAGGCTTGGCTTCCAGAAAACTTTGGTAGCAGTGTTGCATCCCTTTTACACTGGAATTAGCTGTTTCATAATTCTAAATTTCTTTGCTGTTCTAGCATTTTACTAACTTAATAAAGAAAACATGAGATTTTTGTACTAAGATGCTAACAGGCTCCACAAGGAAACTCATTTGTAAGAGGATAAAATAGTGTCCAATGTTGAAAAATAATTTAAACAGAATTAAGGTCATCTTGGTGAGTATTTGTAATTCTACTTCTTAGGCTCGAGCTTAGTGACACTAATATGATTACTATAATCTAATGACATCTGCCACCAGCAACTTAATATTGGTTTTCTTTATGGTATTTGTATTTTGCTTGCTGACATAATTGTACTTGTTTATGAATCCCCCCCCTTTTCTTTTGCAATGATGAATCAGTGTTCTTCACTGCCTGGATGCAAGCTTGTAACTGATGAACTAGTTATGTTTTTTCTTCTTTAGAAAGCAGGGCCTTATCTCTTTTCTGGCACATGATTTTGTTCTTTGTGACTCTTTAACATGCTTGAAAATAGAAAGAAATATGTAGGGAATGCAAACTAGAACCTTCAGCCCTTGAAATGGAAATGAAACTACTTTGTAATAATGGATACTTTGTCAGCTTAGTTATTAGGATGCTTAATGTATGATTACCTGGGATCAAATATTGGGATGCTTACTTTATGAAATATTGGATTATATCCAAAAGAGTATTGGATAATAACCAGAAACATGAAACTGTGATTCATAGTAAGATTCTCCTCAGCAGGTACTTGAGGCTTGTACACTGAGGTCAGTGTGGCCAAATACAGAGGTTCAAAAAAGCTTGAGGCAGAATTGGTTCAATCTTTGCAGGTTTTTCTAAGCTGTTTAGCTTGAACCAATAACAAACTGTTCAAAGTTTGCGTGGCCAAGACAGGCAGAAGCCTGAACTGGCCCAGACCAGGAGCCTGGGGCACTCACATGCACCACCCCTCATGGCCAGCTGCCTATGGATGCTGAACCCAGCCCAATGGCAGACCAGGCCTGCTGGACACATGCCACCCCCATCCACTGTCAGCTGCAGCGAGGGGTGAAACAACAGAAAATCTCTCCCCAGCCGCTACCTCTGAGAGTGGGGTGAGGAGGAGAAATACACGATCCGGCCTTGGCCTCCCAGCTGGAGTCTGCCTGGTGTGGGAAAAGCCTCCATTGTGGGGGTCTTCACCCCCTGCAGTCTGGCTAGCAGGGCTCTGAGTGACATAGCCATGCCCCACTCCCAGCTCTACACCTGTGAGAGAGGGTGCACAAACCCAGCCAGGCACTGCCCTTCCCCACAGCTGGGGTCTGCTCATGGGGGAAAGTCCTCACCAGGTGCTTTTTGCTTCCCTGCAGCCCCGCTCACTGGGCTAGGATAGGTTCAGCTCCACCCCCACCCGAGCCCCCTACCTCCACTAAGGGAAGTGGGATGGGGGGGAATACAGTGGCCCAGCACTGGCCCCTCAGCAGGGGTCTGCTCGGCACAGGACAGTGAAAGCCCTCACCAGGGGCTTTTTTTAACTCTAAAGCTTGGCAAACCAGATGGGGATCAGCTCAACCCCACCCCTCCCTGGCTCCCCACCTGGCTTACAGGGCTGTGGGGTTATGAAAAGGCTCTGGTGGGGGCTTTCACTGCCCTGTGCTGGGCAGATCTTGACTAGGGGTGCCAGGCCAGGCTGGTGCATTTCCCCCTCCTACCACCCTGCTCTCACAGGTGAGGGGGCTGGGGAGGGGGCAGGGCCGAGCCCATGCCAGCCTGGTAAGCCAGGCTGGAGGGGAGGAAAAAGTCCCCAGTGGGGGCTCCCCCTCCCTACTCTGGGCATACCCCAGTTGTGGGGCCAGTGCCCAGCTGGACTGGTGTGTTGGTGGGGGCTCTCACAGGCCTGGAGAGGGGGCGGGGCTCAGCCTGGCAAGCAGAGCTGCAGGGGAGTGAAAATCCCCCAGTGGGGGCTTCCCCACTTTGTACCAGGCAGATCCTGCCTGGGGGGGACTCAGTGATGGGCTGGGCTGCTGCATTCCCCCCTACCCCACTTCTGCTCTCAGAGGTGGAGGGCTGGAGAGGGAGCAGGTTGGGGCAGAGCCAATGCCAGCCTGGCAAGCCCGGCTGCAGGGGAGTGAAAAACTGCTGGTGAGGGCTTTCTCCCTGTGCCAGGCAGAACCTAGCTGGGGGGGCCAGTGCCCAGCCAGTTTGGTTCTCCCTTTTCCCCTGCACAGGCTGGCAGCTGCAGAGGGGGTGAGGCTGAGCCAATGCCAACCCTGTTTGCCTGGCTGCTGCAGGGGTGAAAAGTCCCCACTGCTGGGGTTTCCTTCCCCTTGTCTGGTACACACGGGGGCTAGGGTGAGTCTGGGGAGTCTGTTCCTTTGCCCCCACCATCCAACGGGGCTGACAGGTGCTGGCTGGGAGGAGAGGCTTTGGTGCCTTAGCTCTTTGATAGCTGGGGAAGGGGCTGGCCTTGCTCCGCTGGAGCAGACAGCACAGCCCAGGGCTGCAAAGCATTATGGGATACTGGGACACTGTATGTTAACTTGAATCAGGAAGGAATTTGGGACAAAAGTTCCATAAATCAGTTTGACCGTAATCAGTTCAGTCTGATACTATATCCAATCAGGTTTATCTTAAACTGTTTTCTGCCATTTTGAAAGCAGTTTATATGCACTGAACTTCTGTTCTGTTACAGGATTAAACCAGTTTTGGATCACTTGGGCTAGGTACATATAGTCAAAAAGCCTGAGGCTGAATTAATTCAGTCTTTGCAGGCTAGTTTAAGCTGAGCAGATTAAATTGAAACAGAAGTGAACAGAGAGTCTCTTGCGTGGATCTCTGCTTCTCGCTCATCTGCAACATGTGTTTCTGTAGTTGCCATCCCCATTATGATAGTGTCCTGTGCTTGTGTGTACTGTCTGCTGTTGGTGAGTACCAAAATTGTAAAAGTGGTAGAAATGGGTTTGGGGGTCAGTACAGTCGAGGTTTTGTAACATAGCCCTATCTGTTACATTGTAAAGTTGGTTCCCTTTACATGAATTCGAATAATGTGCTGTTTTCCAGGAACGCAGATACAGCATAAAGTGAGGGAAACCTGTACTTGGTGAAATGCAATTTTGGCTTGAGTAATCCTTTGCTCTTGGTAGTGCCTTTGAAGAGGATGGCGCGATGGAGCACAGGTAGTGTCAAAAGGAAATGATAGGCAGGAATCTGGACTACAGGAGTTGAGGAAATGAAGGACTGGAATGCTGGAGATTACTGAAGAGACAGTATGTATACACCTTACCAACAGTGATGCCCTGTTGTAAAAAACTGTATGGCAGTACTGAAACTTGTTTTAGAGGGTGGCAGACTTTTCTCCCTTTGAGAAGTAAAGCACACAGCAGTTTTAGCAGAATATCTAGCTGTATAGAAAACTGCCATATGGTTGATACCTTTCCATAATATGTAGGTAATATGTCTGAGAGCATAATGCAGTTTGCAAGATTACAAACCTTGTGAACTACTAGTAAAGTTTTCTTTTGGCTTTATGGCTATTTGGAAGCATCAATAAAAAAATATAAAAAGGATTTTAAAACAAACTGTTTGAGCCTGTAAACCCAGAAGCTTGTCTGTGAGGGAATTTGGCTACACCCACTTAATAACTTTCAAAACTCAGGAGAAAAATAAATCTGAAGTTCTAATACAAGCCCCATCAGATAATCAGAAAACCTCCCATTGATCTGAGTGAGAGTTGAACCAGCCCATTGCTTCTTAAAAGAACACACATTTGACAGACTTATTCTCTTTCTGACCCATAGTTTTCCAAATTCACTATCAAAAGTAATTTCTCTGCCCATTAAGAATGGTAGCACAAAAAACACCAAAACCCAGTAATAAACTTCTGTGTTCCTGCCCTTGGTCACCTTCAGAAAAAAAAAAACAGGCCGGAAGGCTGAATTTTCTTGTAGACAATACTAAAATTAAAGCTCTTATTAAATATCAATGACAACTCTTAAATGTGCTAGTCTTTGGTTAGATATTATGAACTGACATTTCGGGAATAAAATGTTTACATTAAATATTGATGTAAACATTGTGGTTATAGTTATCATTTATTTAGCTAATAGATGCACTGTATCTGCTAAATTCTGTATCTTGACTCAGGCAAAAGTGTCACGAGCATAAAACCCACAAGATTTCGGACCATCTTTTTTATTGAATTTTAGGATCTTTTTGACTGATTTTGATTTAGTAACTATAGTGGCTCTCCAAATAATATATGTTGCAAAGTCTCATTAAAGACTTATTTTTACTGTTTAGCTTCCAGGTACAGACAAATTAAAGAAACCAATATTTATATTTTTGTGGTTTTCTGTTTCATCATACTCATTGCTTCAGAAATCAGAACCAGCTTTTGTCCTTGATGTGATTGAATATGAAGTAACCAAACCATTTGAAATACTTTGAATGCTGTTTACTTTAGGCTTGTTAAGTACTGTTTTTTTTACGTTCGGGAGTAACATTGAGAAGAAGAGAGATCATATGTTCTCTTGTCTGGCTTCCAGCTGTTCAAACAATCACAGAATGGCTTGTCTTCACATTGACATTACTCTTCAGACTGCTTCTAAAATACTTTTGAAAGTTCGATCCTGTCAATGTAAAATAAAGTTTGAAAAATACTTTACCACAGTATATGTATTTACTAATTTCACTTTTTGTTGTAATAATGAAATTTACCTCTTTCCATTTAAAATATTTGAAAGTCCATATTTTCAGTTTTGTATATGTAGTTTTGCACTCACATATATTTGCATAGGAAAACATTTGCAGCTGCAAATGATAGAATTTCAGGTTTTGCTTATCCAGTTTGATTTGCAAATCATCTAGATAGTTGAATTCTGTTTGTACTTGAAAAAGACTTGAAAAAGATTTGAAAAAATAGTGCAGCCCCTTAGAAAAATATCAAGCCAGATCCCAGGCTAGTATAAATCAGTGTAGTTCCATTGAATTTAAAGAAGCCACAATGACTTGCACTAGTTGGTGGATTCCCTGGGCGTTAATTTATCTGAAATCTGCACAAAGTATATCTGAGCTGTTTAGTGTGTTCAGTGAAATACATAAACAAATTACCTGAACTGAACAAGGACCTAGGTCTCATTTTTGTCACATACCAAAATTGCATTAAAGCCATTGGTTTTACAATGAGATTTTGACCTAAGAAATGTACACCTCTTATACTGTACACAGTACTGGGCTCTGATGCTGTTATGACTCAGGAAATTGTAGAGCGTTCTTTTTAAACATCAGCTCAGTGTAGAGTGATAACTAAAAAAGCCAATAAAATGTTGGGAATTGAAAACAAAATGCAAAATGTCATTATACCATTTTAAAACTCATGGTGCCACAACATCTTGAATACTGCATGCAGTTCTGATCTCTGCATATGAAAAAGAAGGTAATAGAATGAAAATGGTACAGACAAGGGCAACAAAGAAGATTGAGTATATGGAGCAACTGCTGTATTAGAAGAGACTTGAAAAGGCTAGGATATTTCACCATGGAAAGGAGAAGGCTGATGGGGGATATGATAGAGGTCTAAACAATCATGAAGGGTGTGGACAAAGTAAATAGGGAACTGTTATTCACTAAATCCCAGAATACTAGAACTAGGGGATACCCATGGAAATTAATAGAAGATAGATTTAAAACAAATAAGATAAATTACATTTTAAAACAATATGTAGTAAAGTCATTGAGCTCATTGCCATAAGAGGCTTTAGCTAGAACAGCCAGGTTAAAAAATGATTAGATAAATTCATGGATGATAGGTGCACTGTGGGGATGTTCAGGCATTTATGACACCTAGTCTGCATTCATTTACAAAGTTTAGTTTAAGCCACCTGACTGTAGATTGGGACTGGCTTGTGCATACGTTCACCCGTGTCAGGAGCCATGCCAGGAACCCAACATAAGTAATGTGGGGTAGGGGGAGGAGCAGTTCGGATAGAGAAGCTAGCAGATCTGTGGTGGGGTTTGGTGGGTCTGTAGGAGTGTTGGTGGGATCATAGGGGTTGGTGGGTCTGCAGGGGGTTGTTCATCTGGTGATGGGGAGGGTCAGGGGGTTAAAAATAGCCCAGTCAGGGTGGAGGGGTAGGAAGAGTGAAGCCTCTGGGCTGGGGTGAGGGCTGAGCTTTTCCTGCCCCAGGGATGTGTTCCAAGCATGTGCAAATGTTTGTTAGATCGGGCTAGCCCAGTGATAGGCAAAATTGCAGATCAAGCTAGTGGCTGGCCTGCATTTCCCAGCAGCCCCTGCCTGCATTGCTGTGGCCAGTTTCCATGGAGACCCCTGTAGCAACAGTGACAGTGTGGAGCCATGGTTTCCATGGAGACCAGCCCTAGCATTGCTGGCAGGGCGCACAGCTGGGCGGGGAGCTGCTCCGGGTCCAGGGCTGGGATCTTGCAGTAGTGACAGTGGTGCAGAGCTGGGGCAGAGCCGCAGTCTGCTGCCTGTATGCCCCTGCCTGAGGCATGTGGGCAATGGATCATAGCTTTGGACCACGATGTTACTGATGCAAGATCCCAGCCCTGGAGCAGCTGCCTGCCCAGCTGTGTGTCCTGCCAGTGCTGCTGGGGAAAACCAACCGGTGCACCATGGAAAACCTGGCCCTGTGCTGTCACAGCACCACTGCTCCTGGGGGTGTCCATGGAAACCGGCCACAGTGATGCGGGCAGGGGCTGCTGGGAAATGACATCTAATGCAGATCCAATAAAGCCCATGGGCAGGACCTTGCCCAACCCTGGGCTAGCCTGTTCCTGATCCGGCCCACCAGACCATTTTATCCGGTCCGCAGGGCCCCTAAAAAATTTAGAAAATGTAATATTTATTTGTTCCTGGCTGCCTGTCAAAAATGACAGGAGCCAGGGGCAGCAGGACCCAGGGGAAGCCAGCAGTGGGACCTAGCAGCAAGGCCCACCCAGCACTGCCTCCCAAAACAGAAGCCCCTGCCTAACAGAGGCGTCTGGCCTGGGACTGTGGGGCTGTTCCTGCTTCCTTGAGCCAGAGAGGGAAATGCAGCCCTCGACAGCTTGCCAAAACTTGGTAAGTGGCCCTCTACCCGAAATATTGCCCGCCACTGTTATATATGAACATGTTTGCATACTGATTTAAGTTCACATATTTCTAAAAGTGGCTTTGATTTGATTTCCATTGTAGTTGAGTGCATAGAACCATTAAAAAACTGTCTGTTAAGTGTTTTTCATGCATGCATATATGAGTGAACATGCATACTGTTATCTGCACAATTACACATTCAGATCAATGCACATTTAATAGGTATGTTTATCCCCATATGCTTATCTTTAATTTTCATTTAAAGAGTGTTATGTTACAGTTCAAGACATTAGGTGCCTAAAAGGCAGGAACATTTAAGTTAGTTTTACAACAGCCGTATCTCAGTCTTGTTTCATTTCTACACAGTGAGCCACCTCCTAAAAAAGGAATGTTCTAACTTAAGAATCTACTTGGTATATCTGGATGCTCTGCTTATGAACAAGAAGATGTTAGGAACAGGAATCAGAGTTCATCACCCAAATTCCCCTGTTCCTTAGTGTTACCCAAACTTAAGTTTTGTTCTGACCATTTTCAACACACTATGAAGAAAAACTTATTTTAAGATGATATAAGGAACTTTGTATGGCGGTTATTTTGCAGAAGTGGTCCCACAAATAGTTGAGTTTTTCATGCGAGGGGATTTTTGAATCACTTCTTGCTATTTACAGACAGCAGTGGACCAGTAGTTGGTATAGAGCTCTATAGAAGCAAGAGAGTTCAAAGTACAGCTATTAATCTGTCTAATGAATAAAAACCTTTGTAAGCAGCTAAACATTTTGAAAAGGAGCAAGGAACAAGTTCCTGCATATTCAACAGATCTGATTACCATGGGACAATTACAGTAGACTATTGTAGAGCAGGAAAAAAGGCCTTCAGAAACTTATGAACTTTAATTAACAACTGGAAAACAGGTTTAGTTTTTTTGTCAATGTTCAATTCAGTTTTAATTTTCAGATCAACTTTTAATTTTCAGATCAACTCTTACTTGTTTCTGCATAGTAGAATGCATGTGCTTACCCCCTGCTTTCTCCTACATTTCTCGGTTTTAAGTTTAAAACCCATGATTTATTTTTTTAGGTGGGCCAGTACATTTTTAAGAACACAATTGTGGGGAGTAATAGCCCAAAGTTGGTCTCCTCTTTTTCTTTTCATTTTTTTCCCCTAATTTTTGTTTTCTCTTCTTTTATATGGATGTTTCAGCTAGGGATGCTCAGAAAAGGGAGCTGATATAAAAGGTTACATCTTCCTACTGTGTGCAGCAGGAAGAAGCAGTATGAGAACTGCCCTGGTTTGGGATATGAGGAGGTATACTGGAAGAGAGAGCCATAGGTGACTGGGCAGGGGGGGAGGGGGAGGCACGTGCCCCCCTGACAGGGCCATCCTGGTTGCCACTGCTGGCGTCTGCAGGTGCCCTGCCCAAACTTGGGAGGCACCAGTCACCCATGGAGAGGGCTCTTATTGGTGAGATTTGGCCTTGACAACTGATTACATGAGAAAACAAGCACTGACAATGGCCATAACCCAGGGATCCTATCTGGTCTACCTGTCCCATTGCAGAGATGTACCAAATTCATTAGGCTCTAATGTTCTTGTGGCAATCCTTTATTCTGCTAGAAGAGACTTGACACTTTCTGCCTCTCTTCAGCCCTATTTGAAGCATTCTTTGCAGTACACAATTGTATCATGGTAAAACATAACCGTAACAACATGTTCTGAATATGGCTTTGCATGCTAAAACAACTGTAACAGCATGTTCTGAATGTGGCTTTGCAATCAGTTTAGGCAACAGCATGCAGCATGTCAGCTAGTCCCAGGTAAATGAAAGTTTGCCACTGCAAGGAGTTTGTGTGTTTTTAAAATAGAGGTAGGTTGATCCACTTTCTCAAAATCTAAACTTTCCCAAAGATTGTACTGTATAAGTAATACCACCCTTTAAAAATAATCCTCACACACCTAAATCTAACATTCTAAAAATTCATATATAAGAAGCACTTCAAACTCCCTGTTGTGGCCATATTGCTGGAAAATGCTGTGATTTGTGACAACCATTATGTGAAATCTAATATGACATTGTAAATCTGCTTTTATTTTGAGACTAGTGCAGCAATATTAGAATGTTAGTGTGAGTATCATCTATTGAATAGTAACTCTTCTGATGTTACACTACTAGGATCAGTAAATACTACTGATTTACATTCCCTGAAATTTAATAGCCATATTTACAGATGACTTCCACTATCATCTACAAGCTGAGAAATGCCAATTCTAATGCTAAAACTATATTTTCAACTATATTTTGTAGTGTATGGTAGGCTCTTTGTGTAAAGGAAAGGTAAGGTTTGGCTTTCTCTTGAACCTTAACCAAACGGTAAACTTCAATTACTTCTCAAGCTTTGTTTGTTTAGAGACTGTTAACTGAGAAATGAGGATACACTTTATAGCTTGACAAAAATGGCGTGTGGGAAGAGTTCAGATTAGAAGGATCATCCGATTCAAAATGGTGCTTTTAAGAAGCCACTCTGGCACTTTGCACTCTTC